CAATCTTTGAATGCTGAAAAAGCACAGTGTATCCAGGAAACACATTATATGCTGCGATAAATGCACTGCCCAAGTGTCCCCTCTCCCCACTGCCTTTCAGCAGCATGCAACAGCAAACAGGTCGTCAGGGGAGGCCGAGATGATTAACATTTTCTACAATGTTGACAAAGCACTTTAAGCACAAGTTTGTTTGTTTGTTTGTTTGTTAATAATTTAGAAATGAATATTGTCTGTATGAATATTGTCCCCCCCCCTCAAAGAAAGTGCACATGTAAAACTGCGGTGTTAAGCGATGCGGTTGAAAAATTTGAGTGCGCCTAACTTTTGTGCTGGTACGCCTAAATTTTTAAAGTTAGGCGTTCCGGTGCGCCCATGTCAAAAAGTTAGTCTAGAGCCCTGCAATTGATTTTAGAATTCGTTTTAAAACTCTTGTTTTAACATACAGAGCACTAAACGACCGGGCCCCAGATTATTTATCCAAGCTTCTTACAAAAGACACTGCTGCTCGCCGTCTCCGCTCACAGAGTTTGAAGATGAGAGGGGACAGAGCCTTTCAGGCTGTGGAACAGTTTACCACCACAGCTCCGTTTGGTTGACTCTGTGGAATCCTTTAAAAGGCGGTTAAAAACTTTACTGTTTAAACAAGCTTTCTGTTGATCAATGCTTTGTAGGTTTTTTTTCTTCAAATAATTTTATTTACATTGAAGCTTTTATATTGTGTATATTGTCTGTTTTGTTACTTAACATTCTGTTTATTTTAATCTTTGTTTACAACGCTTTGTGACTGCCTGTCTATGTAAAGCGCTTAATAAATAAACTTTACTTACTTACTGAAATTGCAATTATAATAAAATAAAATGTTTATTTATGTTTGTGAACTGCATTAAATAATGAAATCATAGATTCTGGCTATAAAGGGGGTCTTTTATGCTGTGTGTAGGTGTGCAGTTTGCTGCGTAGCTCTGTGCAGGATTTGGATTCGGCTCCTCAGTGGCTCAAGCAGAGGTGTGAGGGTCTGTGCAGCGGCGGACGCCCACCGGGTGTCTCTCTGTATCTGTGTCACGGTGCCCTTGCTATGCTGAGCTGGAAGGCTGCCCTACCAGGACCACAGTGGGAACAGCTGCTGCTGCTGGTCCCAAACACACTGCTGGATCTAGATGTTAGGTAGCTCTGCTCTGATACCCAATTTCTATTCTGAATATTTTTCCAGATTCTGATGAAATGGAATGTGCTGGGATGCAGTTTACAACTTTTATTTTAAGTTTTGCTTTTGTTTTTTTTCCTTTCAATAGTATAAAGGAGTCGAGTACAGCCATGGTGGTGGCTCGGGTCCTGACTCTGTGGAGTGGGGCTGCCCTGGATTGCCTGCAGGGGCAGACACAGTTGTGTCCTCCCAGCCTCCAGCAGTCCCTGAGTGGAGGCTCTGAGCTACAGCGACACCTGCTGGAGCACATCTACTCCCACTGGGAGCATCCGCTGGATGGTGTCCGCCACCAAACCCGGTCCTTGTTCCGCAACCACCTCCTCATCCATCAGCACACCAGCCCGTCCGTCTCTGACCCCATCGAGGATCCATACATCACCGACCTGACTCATAATCTACTAGGGCTTGAGTGGCATATGAGGGGTAAGTTTGGCTCCTTAGGCTGCCTGGTGGAGCTCTATGGGGCAGGGTATCTGCTTAACATCCAGCCCCAATTGCCTTCATGTCTCCTGGGTTTGATGGGTGACCAGACCTTAGCTCCGTATGCCAGCGACCTACTGGAAAGGCTGTTTGTCAGCCACAAGGCACAGCTGACGAGAGAGGCTGGTGCAGCAGCGGGAGAGGCGGAGGCTTGGATGGAGTGCTGGCACCAGACGTGGGTAACTCCTCTGCTGCATGTGTTGTGCCAATCCAGGCTGGACCAAACAACGTACATCCTGGACTACTTCCTCCCCAAGCTGCTACGCTGTAGCCCCTCCAGTCTGGCACACATGGTGCAGGCCCTGCAGGACATGGCACCCACAGGTAAAGACTTGCATGTCCTTTACATCTGCAGCTGTTTTCACTCAACCCTTATTCCTCAAATGCATATTAATGTCTCTCAGCTTGACAAACTGTTATGAATGCAGTCAAAGAGTATATTCTATTGCAGTCCCAAATAATAAGCCATAATATTATTCTGCTATTTTGCTGTTCTTATTAGGTTCTGCTGGCAGCAGAGGAGCTCTAGGCGCTCTGATGACGTGCCTACGGGCAGCCAGGGCCCAGGGAGTCATACCGTCCACAGAGGGTGGTCTGTGGGGAGGACTAGTGCCGCTGTCCCTGCTCCAACAAGCTCTGATACACAAACATGATCAGGTAAGTCTGTCTGTGTCCTCAAAGCAGATGCAAGTGTTGCAAGTGTTCTTATGCATTCATCTCTCACTGTTCAGGTGAGGATGGATGCTTTGGGCTTGGTGTGTGAGAGCCACCGCAGCACAGAGGTTCTGACCTCACAGGAAATGGACCTGATCCGCCACTTCCTCCTGCCCAACCTCAACAGCCAGTCACCAGGCATCAGACAGCAAACAGTCAGCCTGCTAAAGAAGGTTAGCAGCCTTACACCCGAGGCTGTCTTTAATGTTTGGAAATGTTTTTGCTGAGCAGAGCAGGCTGTGGATTTACGTGGAGGAAAACATTGAAATCGGCACTTAATGAAACTTTGAATGTTCTGCTACACAGCTGCTCTGCAGGGTGAAGGACAGCACTCAGCTGCTGCAGAAGAGACTGAGCCAGAAGAGAGACCAGGAGGAGGGAGACACAGACCAACACACTCTACGTCAGTACAAGGTAAACCACACTCTCAGTTGTTTTTTGTTTTTTTTTCCAATAGTGTTGATATTTTTGTCTGATGAATTTATTTGTCTTGTTGCAGGCGTTCCTGTGCTGGCTGTGTGAAAGGCTGCTGGAAGTTTTGCTCCCTGGAGCCTCTTTTTCTAAATGCCTCATGTCTCTGCATCTGCTGGGTCTGCTGGGTCAGCTCTTTAGCTTCAGCACTGGTACATCAGCTGCTCGCTAGTCACCGTTTTGACTAAATTGCTCACTACACTGAACTAAAACTTCACTGATGTGTAAATATGCTGTATTAGACTCCAAGGATTACATGCATGTTAATCAGGATTTGAGGCCTTATTTCAAGATCCCAAATAGTGTAGCTTTGCATGATTCAGAGTTCAAAATAATCCATATTATTCTAACTGGGCCTTGGTACAGCTTCTCTGTTCATCTGAAACCAGCTGTTTTAACTCCTCTCCCTCTAACTGAGCCGCCTTTGTAGACAGAAACACAAAGAAAGTTAGTGCTGTGCTTAGAGCTGAGAGGAGCGTATAGGACGGGGGTTGGCAACCCTGGGCACTCGTGCCACAGCTGGCACCCGAAGGGTTAACTGATGGCACGACACGCAGTGAATTAATCTGAAAGGTGCATTAAAAAATAAATGGCCGG